CCGCCGCCCGGCAGCTGCTCCCCAGCCAGCAGGAAAGAGAAGAGCCAGGTCTGACAGCGCAGAGAGTGTATTCAGAAAGAGGGGGGGAAACAAAGAAAAACGCAGGAAGAAATAAAAGCACAGTCGAAAGGCAACTTGTTACCACGGGGAGAGCGGCGGGAGCAAGGGACAGGCAGAGGCATGGCTGGGGCAGGAGCATCGGGCTGAGCATCGCTGAGCTGGCCCTGCCCTCGCCTGCCTCCTCTGCCTGGCACACCCCTCGCTCACGGCCGTGCCAAGCAAAAAAAAATCCCCAGCTCCAGCACCGAGCGTGGGGAGGGGCAGGGCCCCCGCGGTGTCCCCAGCACCGTGGGGCTCTGCCATTCCCCCAGGGATGTGGCTCTCTTCCGTGGCGTGGAAGCAAACAGGGACAGATCCTGAAGGAGCAGCAAAAGAGACAGGAGCAGGCACAGTGAGGCGGAAAGGTGGTGTGTCCCCTCTGCATTTGCTTTGGTAGGAGGCCGATAGGAGCCGGCAGGACAGAGGGGCTGCGGGCGAGCAGGCAGAGCTGGCAGCTGCCGGCTGCGAGAGCTAGAAAGGCAGGAGGCGAGAAAAGGACAGAGCCAGAGATGCGATGCTCCATACAGTGTCCAGGTGAGAGAAGAAAGTGCCAGCAGTCCTGCGGGACGGGCAGGCTCCCGACGGCTCTTTGAGATCCCATGGGCTCTATGGCCCCGACTCCTGCCGCCTCCCCGGGACCCCTTGGCTCCCATTACACTGGGGGCTCGGCAGCGCCTGTCTCACCCACGGTCCCGGCACTGCAGCCTCCCAGCTACTTCTTTTTTCTATTCCCTTTTCTTTTTTCCCCCTTTTTTGTGGTTGTTTCGGCTTTTACCGGGGAAGGGGCTGGAGGTTGTCTGGCCGGCGCCGGGCACAGCGGGAGCATGCCAAATGGGGGAAGGAGGCAATGGAGAGGTCGGGCAGGAGGTTTGCTGGGGGTAAGGGTAGGCGTCAGGAAGAGAGGGTCTGGGTGGAGGCATCTCCCGGGGTATGGACCTCGCTGGCCCCTTGGATGGGGAGAGGATGAAGAGCGAAGACTGGAGCTGGTAGGGCTGGTGCTTGGAAATCTCTAGCTCCTTCTGGGAGACCTCATTCTCCATCAGGTTGCTGCCGTACAGAGATGCCGGAGGGGTTTTGGAGGGCCTGGAGGGACTCTTGGAGGGGTGTCTGGAGACCATGGGCGACAGGCAAGCGTTGGCATCGTACTTCCAGGAGGGAGGCAGGGACATGGTGGGCGACGGGGACCGCAGCAGCTTGGGCTGGGAGGGAGCCTCGATGATGAACTTCTCCATCCTGGACTGCCGGCGGGCGAAGAGCTCGGCCCCCTTCCCTCTCGCTTCGCTGAGGTTGTGGCTGGGCTGTGGCTTCGGCTTGGGCTGGATGGTAGGAGGACCACGCGGGACCATCGTCGGCTGGCGGGACGTTCTGCCCGTCCCTGGCCGCGCTGTTGGGGACAAAGTTGGCGGCTTCAGCCCCGAGGGCGAAGGGCTCATCCTCAGCACCGGGCTCCCCCTGATCCTTCTGCTTCTTCCTGCTGTCTGCGCTCTGGACCAGGTCCAGCAGGTCGGGGTTGGGGCCCAGCTTTGGCTTCTCGACAAAGGTGAACATGGACTTTTTGCCAGCTCTCCGGGCAGCCGACTCCTCCAGGATCCCCGTTTTGGGCAGGGGGTTCGGTCCGCTCACCCCGCAGCCCTGGGGGGGACCTGGCAGCATCTTCTGCTCTGGGGGTGGGTACAGGGCCGAGTAGGAGGGGGGCGAGCGGACACGGGTGAGTGGCGGGGGGCTGCTCAGGGTCTCCGCATAGGTGGGTGGTGGGGGCAGTTCGGCAGGAGGGGGGGCCTCTGCCGGGCGGGCGCTGGCCTGGGCCGCCTGGG